GAGAAGGACCACTTCATGGACGACTTCTTCCATCAGGTGAGGTCCTCGGGGACCGTCGGGCCGGCCTCCGCAGCATCGGCCCGAACCTGCCCACCAGCGCGTGTTGGAGGCGGTGCCGACGGCCATGTTCTTACGTTTTTGTGAATCCTCAGCCGGGGATATTTTTCCATCGATTTTTAGAGAAAGTGGAAGGAGAGGAAGAGGGGGGGGGGAACGTTGATGTGGGAGAAACACGTCGATGGGTTGCCTCCTGCACGCACCCCAACCGGGGCCCGGGCCGGGGAGGAGCCTGCAACCGAGGTTCGTGCCTTTGACCGGAAACGAACCCGGGACCCTTTGGTCTGCAGGCCGGCGCCCTGTCCGCGAGCCTCATCGGCCGGGGCCCAGCCTGGTCGGTTTTGCTGGCGAATGCCGATCGCTGTTGCCGTGGTCATCACTTCACGTGGTGCGTGTTCTTAACGTTCAGTGACCTTCCGCGTGAGGCGGGAGCCGGCGTTCATTTTTCACGTGTAATTAATCACTCACCCACTTCCCTCCGCTGTCCTCCCTCCAGGCGTGAGAGGTGGGGGGCTTGCGCTCCCCGTGGGGTGACGCCTCTCTCTCTCCCTCCCTCTCCCTCTCTCTCTCTCTCTCTCTCTCTCTCTCTCTCTCTCTCCCTCTAGGTGGAGGAGATCAGGAACGGCATCTCTAAGATAGCCCAGTACGTGGAGGAAGTAAAGAAAAACCACAGCATCATTCTGTCTGCGCCAAACCCCGAGGGAAGTGAGTCCTGCTTTCTGCAGAACTCGGGCCAGGGCAGGAGCCGGACCCCCCATCCGGGCCGGGGCCGTGGTGGAACAGGAAGGGGATCGTGTGTCGGGTGGACGCTGAGGGGGTGATTCGGGGATGCTGCTGGTCGGAGCAGGTGCTCACAGCCGTCCACTCCACAGTCTGAGGTCAGCCCCAGAGCGGAGCCCGGAGGCCCGTGCGCCCTGGGCCCCGTGCAGTCACGTTCTCAGATAAAGGTTCTCAGATAAAGCGTGTGGTGAGCGAGCCGAGCTTATCACGGGCTCGTCCCTCTATCTCCACACACGCCTGTGCCTGCGCCTCAGCTCTGCCCGAGGCCTCCCTGCCCCCGACCCCGCCCTGCCCCGACCCCGCCCGCAGGAGGCGCTGCCCCAGGGCGCACTGAGCACCGCTGGCCCTGTCAGCCGGTCCCTTATCTAAAGAAACAAACACCGGATGGAGATGGTGCGTTTCAGCTGATTGGACGTGGCTGATGGGGGATGTCATCGCTCAGGTGACTTTTTTTTTTTCATTTTAAAGAAATAAAAGAGGAGCTTGAAGATCTGAACAAAGAAATCAAGAAAACGGCTAATAAAATCCGCGTCAAGTTAAAGTGTGAGTTGAAGCTTCGGCTTGTTTACTCGTGGATGATGGGACTCTGGGTGGTTGGTTTTCTTTACAGTTTTTCATTTTATGTTTTCAGAAAGGGAACACTGTGAGCACTTTAGTCAGTGTGTGTGTGTGTGTGTGCGCGCGTGTGTGCGGGGACTTGGGGCAGGAAGCCTTGTGTTGAAGTTCTTCATCGTCAGGATTAAAAAAAAAAATACCTTATTGATTTTTTACAGAGAGGAAGGGAGAGAGTTAGAGAGCTAGAAACATCGATAAGAGAGAAACATGCATCAGCTGCCTCCTGCACACCCCTCATGGGGGATGTGCCCGCAACCAAGGTGCATGCCCTTGACCGGAATCGAACCCGGGACCCTTCAGTCCGCAGGCCGACGCTCTATCCACTGAGCCACACCGGCCAGGGCTCGTCTTAGGTTTTTAAACGACTGGCCCTCAGGGTAGCACAGGAGGAGCGGGAGCTGGTGTTTGCGGGCCTTCCATTCAGGGCGGAGCACGAATTCACAGCAAGACCAAGCGCTTGCTGACAAATCGCTCATCTCTTTTTATTTTATTTAAAATTTTTTTTATTGATTTCAGAGAGGAAGGGAGAGGGAGAAAGAGAAACATCCATGATGAGGGAGAATCATGGACCGGCTGCCTCCTGCACGCACCCCTCCCCCCACCCCCGCTGGGGACGGAGCCCACAGCCCGGGCCTGAGCCCCGACAGGGATCCCACCGTGACCTCCTGGTTCCCGGGCCGACGCCCAATCAGTGAGCCACACCGGCCGGGTTTTTCCATTTAAATGTTCACATGTTATGTCGGTTTGTTTTGTGATATTATCCCCCATCGATGATTATCGCCAAAACCCGCACGTCGGCCGGGCGTGGACGGGGAGGCGATTCTGTGAGGCTGGTGGGCCGGGCCCTGCCCAGCGTGACGCCCCCCCCCCACTCCACCCTGTGTGCCCACAGCCATCGAGCAGAGCCTGGAGCAGGAGGGGAGCACGCCCCACACGGTGGACGCCCGGATCCGGAGGAGCCAGGTCTGCGCTGCCCCCTCGCGCAGGGAGGCCGGGGAGGGGCTTCCCCTCTCATTTCAGCCGCAAAACGAGTCCATCGTCATGGCCACCAGCCCTCGGGGTTTTGCATAAAAAACACGGTGTTTGTAGATGCCCTCTTTCTTAGGAAGGGGAAGCCTGCCCGGCCCATCGACAGCATTCTGTCGGGAAAGCCGACAATTATTGGGGTCACCAGTGTCTGTGGTGGGGCCTCACCTTCTGGAGGTTACAGGGCAGCAAGGGATCCAGACTAAGTCCCTCTGACCCGCGGGGATGAGCCTTGGGCGCCGGGCACCAGCTGCAGGGTGCACGCCTGGTCCTCCCCACCCCCTTGGCCTGGTCCTCCCCATCCCCATCCCCATCCTGGCCTGGTCCTCCCCATCCCGGCCTGTCCCCTGGGCTGGCTGCCCTCGTCTCGGCCCTCGTTTCCACGAGGGGTGGTTCCCGGGCAGCAGGGTCGCCGTGAACCGGTCACACGGGGCCTGGGGAGGACGTCGCCGTGGCTGCTGCTGTCCCTCTGCGGGCGGGTTCCAAGCTTCCCAGCTGGACTGTCGTCTGCGCTGTGTCGGCGCCGTTCCGATGGAGGGTGACCATGTGCTAACCGACGTCCGTTCGACAGCACTCCGTGCTCTCCCGCAAGTTCGTGGACGTGATGACCGAGTTCAACGAGGCCCAGACGGCCTTTCGGGATCGCAGCAAGGGCCGCATCCAGCGGCAGCTGGAGATCAGTGAGTGCGGCCGGCCCCGCAGCGCTGCCTGTCCTAGGCCTGACCCCCGGGCGGCCGCTCTGTCCGTCTCCTTTTCTAATATATTTTCATTGATTTCCGAGAGGAAGGGAGAGGGAGAGAGAGAGACATCAGTGATGAGAGAGCGGACCGGCCGCCTCCTGCACGCCCCCCCACTGGGGATCAAGCCCGCAACCCGGGCCTGTGCCCCGAGCCCGCAACCCGGGCCTGTGCCCCGACCGGGTATGGAACGCTGACCTGGTTCACAGGTCGATGCTCAGCCCCGGAGCCGTGCTGGCCGGGCAGCGCCGTCCACGTTAGACCACCTTCTCACTCCCAGGCCGACA